TACACTCTCATGAACCCCGCATGCCGTCACCAATTTGAAATGTCTGCTTGCCTCTTCGCATTTTTCCTTCCATGCTGTTCGCTGATGACTTCCAAATCTCTAACCCTGATCACACCCTTGACTCCCCGCCAGTATTTCCAGCTGCCTCCTGGACATCTCCACCTGGGTGTCCTGCAGACGCCCCAGATTGATCGCAAATGAGCTCATTGTCTTCCCTCCCAGACTTACTGTTCTTTCTGTGATTCCAATGTTGATTGGTGGTTACGGCATCTGCCTAGTAACCTAAATCAGAAACCTAGGAGTCATTTTCAGTTTCTTCCCTCTCTTCTCAAATAATAATAATAGCTAATCGTTACCGAACACTTACTATTTGTATATATTTTGTTTCATCGAATTCTCACAAAAACTCCCGAGGTAGCTTTTAGTCTTATCATTTACATTTTACAGACGAGGAAAACTGTTTGAATAACTTTCGCCCGGTTATACGGCTGGGAAGCGGGGCTTCAAACCCGGGCAGCCTAAGTCCATAGCTCACACGCTTAGGCCCTATACTCTCCTCCCCGTATATCTAATCAGATACAGGTCTTATCCATCTCTGTTCTTTCATCTCAGTCCTTCCTCTTCCCTCTTCTCCGTTCCCACCATGCCACCTGATTCCACGTGTTCTTGGCGATACTCTCCCAAGTCACATTCGACTCAAATATGTCTTCCACGTCGGCTGCAAAATCATCCTTGTAAAATACAGATCTGATTATGTCTCGTTCCCGTTAAAGATCTTTCAGTGGTTTCCTGTCCCCCACATCGTAAAGCCAGAGATAGTTTGCTTAATATAGAAGGATCACCCTCATCTGCCCATCCTCAGCCAGCCTATCTCTCCACGTATGTCCATTACACACTCTGAATTGATGATAATTGCTTGAAAGTACCATGCCGCATCTTATCGGGACGACTTTGCATATGTTGTTCCCTCTGCAAAAAAAAATCACCTCTCCCCGTTTCTTCTCCTATTTGTCCTTTACCTTTGTGTTTTTGTGTCTGTCAAAATCAGGTGTTCTCTCCTCCAGGAAGCATTTTCTAATTCCTCCAACTATTCATGTCCTATGTGCTGCTTTGAACCTTCGCTTATTTCGTATGTCACATTCTAGTAGTTTTATTTACTTGTGTCCCTCTCCAGGATATGAGCTCCTTGAGGGCAGTGACTCTTGTTTAACTCTAGGTCTTTAGCGTTTAGCATGGTGCCTGGCAGATAAGTAGTTGCTTAGGAGATATAGGTTATATTGGATTAAATAACTTAATTGTGAAATTATAGGGCCTTGTACGCTGAACGAATTTCAGCCGTCAGTGGCATGGGAAATATTTGCTGAGCAGAAGAGGAGAAGATACGGGGTGGGGAAAATGATGATCTAAACTGGATCGTCGTATAAACTATATAAATGTGTAACCAATGTAATCTATACTTGAAATTAATAAAATTTAAAAAACAAAAAAAAATAAAAATAGAAAGAGCCCCACCCCCTTCATGCGGGCCACGTATAAATTAGTCATAAATATTCCTATTTCTATAGACATTCTCATGTAGACGTGTATTCTTTCTCCATTAGGGGCTGCAAGGAACCGCCGAGTAGCGCCAAGTATGGAGCCGTGCAGCGTAGAGACAGAAGGTATGAAATAAACGCCCTCGATTTGCCGAGAAATGAATCAGTGCACCCTGGCTTCGCTTTTATGCGGCTTCAAGTGGAGAATGAAGACAGGCCCACGTTTTCCCGAAAAGCGACAATGAGAAATCATCCTTGTTTACCCCATCCTCGCCGCTTTCTCGGCACCAAAGACAGTGCCGCGTGCTCAACTGCGTGAGGAAGGAGTTGAAACTATCGGGGGTGGCACGAGTGGCGGGGCTGCGTTCTCGGCTGTCAGGAGTATTATTGGAGTCCCCCCTCTCCGGAGGCCACCCTTCTATTTTCGCGGAAAACCCTGGCTTATTCAGGTCGCGGGGCCTCGGCCTATCACCGTAGGACCCCAGCGTGCGGGGCAGTGCCCAAGGCTGGTCGCTCCCCGCTGGAGGACGATCTGTCGGGCAGAGGGGCAGCGATTGGCCGATCCCGCCTGTATTGCTTCCCGGGATGCTGGGGGGCGCGCATCCGGGATACAGGCTCCGGGGCGGCCACTGACAGCGCCCGGAAGCCTGAATGCGGCCTCGTGGGTGCAGGACTCCAGCGGGCAGCGAGGCCACTACTCAGCGCGCCGGG